AAAATCCAAAGTGTTGTTATTCCTGATTCCATATATGATCATGAGTCATAAAATGTCTGATGAGACCATCAGGAATAACACTTTGGATTTACTTAAATGAAAACACGATTACTCAACAACAGCAGTCAAATAAAGTGCAATACGTGTGTGAAATCAATATGGAAACATGTCTCAGACATTATATAGGCCTATGCTATGTTTTCTTACAAAGAGACAAATATGCACACTGGTGTGACTGTCATTTAACTGAACCATAAAGGAAGTGTGTGTGTAGCTGTGACTGTCATTCAACTGAACCATAAAGGAAGTGTGTGTGTAGCTGTGACTGTCATTTAACTGAACCATAAAGGAAGTGTGCGTGTAGCTGTGACTGTCATTTAACTGAACCATAAAGGAAGTGTGTGTGTAGCTGTGACTGTCATTCAACTGAACCATAAAGGAAGTGTGTGTGTAGCTGTGACTGTCATTTAACTGAACCATAAAGGAAGTGTGTGTGTAGCTGTGACTGTCATTCAACTGAACCATAAAGGAAGTGTGTGTGTAGCTGTGACTGTCATTTAACTGAACCATAAAGGAAGTGTGTGTGTAGCTGTGACTGTCATTTAACTGAACCATAAAGGCAGTGTGTGTAGCTGTGACTGTCATTTAACTGAACCATAAAGGAAGTGTGTGTGTAGCTGTGACTGTCATTTAACTGAACCATAAAGGAAGTGTGTGTGTAGCTGTGACTGTCATTTAACTGAACCATAAAGGCAGTGTGTGTAGCTGTGACTGTCATTTAACTGAACCATAAAGGAAGTGTGTGTGTAGCTGTGACTGTCATTTAACTGAACCATAAAGGAAGTGTGTGTGTAGCTGTGACTGTCATTTAACTGAACCATAAAGGCAGTGTGTGTGTGTAGCTGTGACTGTCATTTAACTGAACCATAAAGGCAGTGTGTGTAGCTGTGACTGTCATTTAACTGAACCATAAAGGCAGTGTGTGTAGCATGGTACTTCTGATTCCCCACTCTGGGGTAATGTGAAGGGCTGTCACTGTTCAGTAGCCCTCTGTAGCCCTGCAGGTCCATCCATCCGTAGTAAGTGCAAAGCAGGGTGCATTGGCCAATTCATTGACAACGTCGGCTTTAACTTGCTTATATAGAGTGGGTGCTTCCTGTTTGCTGAAACGGGTACTTTCGAGCACTTTCATGGAGGTGGTGAAACCTCGTATTCTTCTCAACCACCGAGAGTTGGCCCATATGCGTGGCTATAATCACTCCTGTCATTTCTTTGGCCCAGTCAGAATCAGCTATGAAGGGCTGCTTGAATGCAGAGGGGAGACTACGTTTATTTTCTTTTTTCATTACGTCTCGTTACGGTGGTAGGAATACTAATAATAAAATAATATGGCATTTAGCAGACGCTTTTATCCAAAGCGACTTACAGTCATGCGTGCATACATACTTTTTTTTTTTGTGTATGGGTGGTCCCGGGGATCGAACCCACTACCCTGGCGTTACAAGCGCCGTGCTCTACCAGCTGATCTACAGAGGACCACAATACTAGGGTATACTAGGGTGATGGTGTAAATATGTCAACATGTCTGAGGTGTTGGCAGCTGGAGAAGGTATTCTAGTTGAACAGTGGTGACATATTCTCTCTGAGATTTAAACGATGATAGAGAATCCTCCAGGTTTATCGACCCACCACTCTCCATGGGACCGAACTAGCTCCCAGCTGTACCTCACAACAGGACAGTTTCAAATGCACCAACTAAGATTTGAATGTTGATTACAACATGCATTTAGGCTCTAGTGGTTTTAACAGAATAGCCTGAAATGTTTTTCAGCTCAGATTTATTCAACAGGCATTCAACAGCGTAGGCATAGCCTATAGGCTTAGTGGTTCACAGCGCAGGCATAGCCTATAGGCTTAGTGGTTCACAGTGCAGACTGAACAGCGTAGGCATAGCCTATAGGCTTAGTGGTTCACAGCGCAGGCATAGCCTATAGGCTTAGTGGTTCACAGCGTAGGCATAGCCTATAGGCTTAGTGGTTCACAGTGCAGACTGAACAGCGTAGGCATAGCCTATAGGCTTAGTGGTTCACAGCGCAGGCATAGCCTATAGGCTTAGTGGTTCACAGTGCAGACTGAACAGCGTAGGCATAGCCTATAGGCTTAGTGGTTCACAGTGCAGACTGAACAGCGTAGGCATAGCCTATAGGCTTAGTGGTTCACAGTGCAGACTGAACAGCAGGCATAGCCTATAGGCTTAGTGGTTCACAGCGCAGGCATAGCCTATAGGCTTAGTGGTTCACAGTGCAGACTGAACAGCGTAGGCATAGCCTATAGGCTTAGTGGTTCACAGTGCAGACTGAACAGCGTAGGCATAGCCTATAGGCTTAGTGGTTCACAGTGCAGGCATACCCTATAGGCTTAGTGGTTCACAGTGCAGACTGAACAGCGTAGGCATAGCCTATAGGCTTAGTGGTTCACAGTGCAGACTGAACAGCGTAGGCATAGCCTATAGGCTTAGTGGTTCACAGTGCAGACTGAACAGCGTAGGCATAGCCTATAGGCTTAGTGGTTCACAGTGCAGACTGAACAGCAGGCATAGCCTATAGGCTTAGTGGTTCACAGTGCAGACTGAACCGAGGTCCTCAGACCGAGCGGTTAGATATCAACCCTTACAACACTGCATCTAAACAGCTCCTCCAAAGCATTTGAGTCTTCTCTAATACAACCACAAATATCTATTACACTGAATCAACAGCAATATTAGTCCCTCTACTGGTCATTATCTGAGGAGGTGTATTATATAGTAGATGGTATATTACCTGAGGAGGTGTATTATATAGTAGATGGTATATTACCTGAGGTGTATTATATTGTAGATGGTATATTACCTGAGGAGGTGTATTATATAGTGGATGGTATATTACCTGAGGAGGTGTATTATATAGTAGATGGTATATTACCTGAGGAGGTGTATTATATAGTGGATGGTATATTACCTGAGGAGGTGTATTATATAGTGGATGGTATATTACCTGAGGAGGTGTATTATATAGTAGATGGTATATTACCTGAAGAGGTGTATTTAAGTGGTTATCCCTGAGGAGTGTATTATATAGTCTGAGATGTTTCCCCCGTTTTACCCAAGCCCCTTTGCGGGGTTTTGGGCCCCCGCCCCCAAACCCCCGGACAGTGTTTTTTGGGAAAAACAAAAGGGCCCCCCTTTTTAAAAGGGGGGGGGGGGGGGGTTTTTCGGAAGGACTGCCCAAATTGAAATTTCCCAATCCCTTCTGGCACCAAAGCACCAGAAAAATTTCAAAAAAGGGCCTGGGCATTTTGGGCTTAACGGGGGACCTTGGCACCAGGATTTGAGTCCCTGGCGGCGTAGTGTGTTACTGATGGTAGGCTTTGTTACTTTGGTCCCAGCTCTCTGCAGGTCATTCACTAGGTCCCCCCGTGTGGTTCTGGGATTTTTGCTCACCGTTCTTGTGATCATTTTGACCACACAGGGTGAGATCTTGCGTGGAGCCCCAGATCGAGGGAGATTATCAGTGGTCTTGTAGGTTTTCCATTTCCTAATAATTGCTCCCACAGTTGATTTCTTCAAACCAAGCTGCTTACCTATTGCAGATTCAGTCTTCCCAGCCTGGTGCAGGTCTACAATTTTGTTTCTGGTGTCCTTTCACAGCTCTTTGGTCTTGGCCATAGTGGAGTTTGGAGTGTGACTGTTTGAGGTTGTGGACAGGTGTCTTTTATACTGATAACAAGTTCAAACAGTTGCCATTAATACAGGTAACGAGTGGAGGACAGAGGAGCCTCTTAAAGAAGAAGTTACAGGTCTGTGAGAGCCAGAAATCTTGCTTGTTTGTAGGTGACCAAATACTTATTTTCCACCATAATTTGCAAATAAATTCATAAAAAATCCTACAATGTGATTTTCTGGAATTTTTTTCTCTCATTTTGTCTGTCATAGTTGACGTGTACCAATGATGAAAATTACAGGCCTCTCTAATCTTTTTAAGTGGGAGAACTTGCACAATTGGTGGCTGACTAAATACTTTTTTCCCCCACTGTAGGACTTGTTTTACTGTGGATATAGATACTTTTGTACCCGTTTCCTCCAGCATCTTCACAAGGTCCTAGAACCAGTACAGTAGGGTGTTAGGTCTAGAACCAGTACAGTAGATTGTTAGGTCTAGAACCAGTACAGTAGGGTGTTGGGTCTAGAACCAGTACAGTAGGGTGTTGGGTCTAGAACCAGTACAGTAGGGTGTTGGTCTAGAACCCGTACAGTAGGGTGTTGGGTCTAGAACCAGTACAGTAGAGTGTTGGGTCTAGAACCAGTACAGTAGGGTGTTAGGTCTAGAACCAGTACAGTAGAGTGTTAGGTCTAGAACCAGTACAGTAGGGTGTTAGGTCTAGAACCAGTACAGTAGAGTGTTAGGTCTAGAACCAGTACTGTAGGGTGTTGGGTCTAGAACCCGTACAGTAGGGTGTTGGGTCTAGAACCAGTACAGTAGAGTGTTGGGTCTAGAACCAGTACTGTAGGGTGTTGGAGTCTAGAACCAGTACAGTAGGGTGTTGGGTCTAGAACCCATACAGTAGGGTGTTAGGTCTAGAACCCGTACAGTAGGGTGTTGGGTCTAGAACCAGTACAGTAGTGTTAGGTCTAGAACCAGTACAGTAGGGTGTTGGGTCTAGAACCAGTACAGTAGTGTTGGGTCTAGAACCAGTACAGTAGTGTGTTGGGTCTAGAACCAGTACTGTAGGGTGTTGGGTATCGAACCAGTACAGTAGTGTTAGGTCTAGAACCAGTACAGTAGGGTGTTGGGTCTAGAACCAGTACTGTAGGGTGTTGGGTATCGAACCAGTACAGTAGTGTTAGGTCTAGAACCAGTACAGTAGGGTGTTGGGTCTAGAACCAGTACAGTAGGGTGTTGGGTATCGAACCAGTACAGTAGAGTGATGGGTATCGAACCAGTGCAGTAGTGTTAGGTCTTACCTCCAGCCTGTAGCGCCTGGGACAGCATCTCGCGACACTTGATCCTGACGGAGTCAGAGGTAGAGGGGGCTTGGGGGAACGTGGAGATCAGGGAGATAGAGGGCATCACCTCAACAGGCTCACTCTTACTGCTGGAGTCATTACTGGAGCAAACAACAACAACAGCCATGTTATCAGGTGTCTTTAGCCAAATGGTGTAGCTAGCTCCCTACCTCTTCTTGTGGTTCAAGACTGCCATGAGAGGGAGAACCATACTGGTGTGGTAGTAGAATAGTGTAGTAGTAGAGTGTAGAGTAGTAGTAGTATAGTAGTAGTAGTAGTGTAGTAGTACCAGTAGAATACTGTGTAGTAGTAATGTAGTATTAGAAGTAGAGTAGTGTAGTAGTACTAGTAGTAGTATAGTAGTAGTAGTAGTAGTAGTAGTAGTAGTGTAGTAGTACCAGTAGAATACTGTGTAGTAGTAATGTAGTATTAGAAGTAGAGTAGTGTAGTAGTACTAGTAGTAGTAGTATAGTAGTATAGTAGTAGTAGTAGTAGTAGTAGTGTAGTAGTACCAGTAGAATACTGTGTAGTAGTAATGTAGTATTAGAAGTAGAGTAGTGTAGTAGTACTAGTAGTAGTAGTATAGTAGTAGTAGTAGTAGTAGTGTAGTAGTAGTAGTGTAGTAGTACCAGTAGAATACTGTGTAGTAGTAATGTAGTATTAGAAGTAGAGTAGTGTAGTAGTACTAGTAGTAGTAGTATAGTAGTATAGTAGTAGTAGTAGTAGTAGTAGTAGTAGTACCAGTAGAATACTGTGTAGTAGTAGTGTAGTATTAGAAGTAGAGTAGTGTAGTAGTAGTAGTAGTAGTAGTAGTAGTAGTACAAGCTTGTAGCATCATACCCAAGAAGACTCGAGGCTGTAATCGCTGCCAAAGGTGCATCAACAAAGTACTGAGTAAAGGGTCTGAATACTTAAGTAAATGTGATATTTCAGTATTTCAAAAAACCAGTTTTTATGGGGTATTGTGTGTAGATTGATGAGGGGGGAAAACAATTTAATCCATTTTAGAATAAGACTAACGTAACAAAAAGTGGAAAAGGTTAAGGGGTCTGAATGCTTTCCGAATCCACTGTATCTGCTAGAATAGGATCTGATCTATCCAATAGGATCTGGCTAGCTCATGCTTGTCCACTATGACTCATTTGTTCCCATTTGAAACGACAGGCTGCGGTTTAATCTTGGTAGTAGTAGTAGTAGTAGTAGTCTGCTGCTAAGGCCACTTTCTACCACTCTAAATTCCAAGCATCTGCCTCTAACCCTAGGAAGCTCTTTGCCACATTCTCCTCCCTGCTGAATCCTCCTTCCCCCCCACCCCCCCCCCCTCTCTGTGGATGACTTCGTCAACCACTTTGAAAAGAAGGTTGACGACATCCGATCCTCGTTTGTTAAGTCAAATGACACTGCTGGTCCTGCTCACACTGCCCTACCCTATGCTTTGACTTCTTTCTCCCCTCTCTCTCCAGATAAAATCTTGCGACTTGTGACTGCAGGCCGCCCAACAACCTGCCCGCTTGACCCTATCCCCTCCTCTCTTCTCCAGACCATCTCCGGTGACCTTCTCCCCTACCTCACCTCGCTGATCAACTCATCCTTGACCGCTGGCTATGTCCCTTCCGTCTTCAAGAGAGCGAGAGTTGCACCCCTTCTCAAAAAACCAACACTCGATCCCTCGGATGTCAACAACTACAGACCAGTATCCCTTCTTTCTTTTCTTTCCAAAACTATTGAGCGTGCCATCTTTAGCCAACTCTCTTGCTATCTCTCTCAGAATGACCTTCTTGATCCAAACCAGTCAGGTTTCAGGACTGGTCATTCAACTGAGACTGCTCTTCTCTGTGTCACGGAGGCTCTCCGCACTGCAAAAGCTAACTCTCTCTCCTCTGCTCTTGTCCTTCTAGACCTGTCTGCTGCCTTTGATACTGTGAACCATCAGATCCTCCTCTCCACCCTCTCCGAGCTGGGCATCTCCGGCGCGGCTCACTCTTGGATTGCGTCCTACCTGACCGGTCGCTCCTACCAAGTGGCGTGGCGAGAAGCTGTCTCCGCACCACGTGCTCTCACCACTGGTGTCCCCCAGGGCTCAGTTATAGGCCCTCTCCTATTCTCGCTATACACCAAGTCATTTGGCTCTGTCATATCCTCACATGGCCTCTCCTATCATTGCTACGCTGACGATACACAACTAATCTTCTCCTTTCCCCCTTCTGATAACCAGGTGGCGAATCGCATCTCTGCATGTCTGGCAGACATATCAGTATGGATGACGGATCACCACCTCAAGCTGAACCTTGGCAAGACGGAGCTGCTCTTCCTCCCGGGGAAGGACTGCCTGTTCCATGATCTCGCCATCACGGTTGACAACTCCGTTGTGTCCTCCTCCCAGAGTGCGAAGAGCCTTGGCGTGACCCTGGACAACACCCTGTCGTTCTCCGCTAACATCAAGGCGGTGACCCGATCCTGTAGGTTCATGCTCTACAACATTCGGAGAGTACGACCCTGCCTTACACAGGAAGCGGCACAGGTCCTAATCCAGGCACTTGTCATCTCCCGTCTGGATTACTGCAACTCGCTGTTGGCTGGGCTCCCTGCCTGTGCCATTAAACCCCTACAACTCATCCAGAATGCCGCAGCCCGTCTGGTGTTCAACCTTCCCAAGTTCTCTCACGTCACCCCGCTCCTCCGCACACTCCACTGGCTTCCAGTTGAAGCTCGCATCTGTTACAAGACCATGGTGCTTGCCTATGGAGCTGTGAGGGGAACGGCACCTCCGTACCTTCAGGCTCTGATCAGTCCCTACACCCAAACGAGGGCATTGCGTTCATCCACCTCTGGCCTGCTGGCTCCCCTTCCTCTGCGGAAGCATAGTTCCCGCTCAGCCCAGTCGAAACTGTTCGCTGCTCTGGCACCCCAATGGTGGAACAAGCTCCCTCACGACGCCAGGACAGCGGAGTCACTCACCACCTTCCGGAGACATTTGAAACCCCACCTCTTTAAGGAATACCTGGGATAGGATAAAGTAATCCTTCTAAAAGATAGAATTTGTAGATAATTGGCACTCTTTCGGTGACTCACCCACAAACAGGACCAAGCCTGGCCTGCTGAGGAGTGATGGACTCCATCCTAGCTGGAGGGGTGCTACAGGACCAAGCCTGGCCTGCTGAGGAGTGACGGACTCCATCCTAGATGGAGGGGTGTTACAGGACCAAGCCTGGGCTGCTGAGGAGTGATGGACTCCATCCTAGTTGGAGGGGTGCTACAGGACCAAGCCTGGCCTGCTGAGGAGTGATGGACTCCATCCTAGCTGGAGGGGTGCTACAGGACCAAGCCTGGCCTGCTGAGGAGTGACAGACTCCATCCTAGATGGAGGGGTGCTACAGGACCAAGCCTGGCCTGCTGAGGAGTGACGGACTCCATCCTAGATGGAGGGGTGCTACAGGACCAAGCCTGGCCTGCTGAGGAGTGATGGACTCCATCCTAGCTGGAGGGGTGCTACAGGACCAAGCCTGGCCTGCTGAGGAGTGATGGACTCCATCCTAGCTGGAGGGGTGCTCTCATCTTATCTACCAACATAGACAGGGCTCTAACTCCTCTAGCTCCACAATGAGACAGGGTGCAGGCCAGGCAGCAGGCTGTTAGCCAGCCTGACAGCTTAGTGGAGTCTGCCACTAGCACAGTCAGTGTAGTCAGCTCAGCTATCCCCATTGAGACCGTGTCTGTGCCTCGATCTAGGTTGGGCAAAACTAAACATGGCGGTGCTCGCCTTAGCAATCTCACTGGTATAAAGACCTCCTCCATTCCTGTCATTATTGAAAGAGATTGTGATATGTCAAAATAGGGCTATGTAATTCTAGATCCCTCACTTCCATGTCATAGTCAATGAACTAATCACTGATCATAATATTGATGTGATTGGCCTGACAAACATGAATCAAGCCTGATGAATTTACTGTGTTAAATGAGGCCTCTCCTCCTGGTTACACTAGTGACCATATCCCCCGCGCATCACGCAAAGGCAGAGGTGTTGCGAAAAAAAAAAAATATATTGTCTTTTGAGCCTCTAGTCATGAAATCCATGCAGACTACACAATCACTTTTTATAGCTACTGTTTACAGGCCTCCTGGGACGTACACAGCGTTCCTCACTGAGTTCCCTGAATTCTTTCCTTCATGGCAGATAATATTCAAATTTTTGGTGACTTCAATATTCACATGGGAAAGTCCACAGACCCACTCCAAAAGGCTTTCGGAGCCATCATCGACTCAGTGGGTTTTGTCCAACATGTCTCTGGATCTACACATTGCCACAGTAATACCCTGGATCTAGTTTTGTCCCGTGAAATAGATATTGTGGATCTAAATGTTATTCCTAAAAATTCTGGACTATCGGACCACCATCTTATTACGTTTGCAATCGTAACAAATAATCTGCTCAGACCCCAACCAAGGATCATCAAAAGCTGTGCTATAAATTCTCGGACAACCCAAAGATTCCTAGACGCCCTTCCAGACTCCCTCCACCTACCCAAGGACGTCGGAGTACAAAAATCAGTTAACGACCTAACTGAGGATCTAAATGTAACCTTGCGTAATACCCTAGATGCAGTCGCACCCCTAAAAACATTTGTCACAAGAAACTAGCTCCCTGGTATACAGAAAATACCTGAGCCCTGAAGCAAGCTTCCAGAAAATGTGAACGGAAATGGCGCTCCACCAAACTGGAAGTCTTCCTACTAGCTTGGAAAGACAGTACCATGGCAATATCAAAGAGCCCTGACTGCTGCTCGATCATCCTATTTTTCCAACCTAATTGAGAAGAATAAGAACAATCCAACATTTATTTTTGATACTGTCACAAAGCTAACTAAAAAGCAGCATGCCCAAAGAGAGGATGGCTTTCACTTCAGCAGTGATGAATTCATGAACTTCTTCGACGAAAAGATCATGATCATTAGAAAGCAAATTACTGACTCCTCTTTGAATCTGCGTATTTCTCCAAAGCTCAGTTGTCCTGAGTCTGCACAGAACTGCCAGGACCTAGGATCAATGGAGACACACAGAACTGCCAGGACCTAGGATCAATGGAGACACTCAGAACTGCCAGGACCTAGGATCAATGGAGACACACAGAACTGCCAGGACCTAGGATCAATGGAGACACACAGAACTGCCAGGACCTAGGATCAATGGAGACACACAGAACTGCCAGGACCTAGGATCAATGGAGACACTCAGAACTGCCAGGACCTAGGATCAATGGAGACACACAGAACTGCCAGGACCTAGGATCAATGGAGACACACAGAACTGCCAGGACCTAGGATCAATGGAGACACACAGAACTGCCAGGACCTGGGATCAATGGAGACACACAGAACTGCCAGGACCTAGGATCAATGGAGACACTCAAGTTTCTTAATCCTGTATCTTGACACATTCATGAACATAGTAATGGCCTCTAAACCTTCAAGCTGCATACTGGACCCTATTCCAACTAAACTACTGAAAGAGCTACTTCCTGTGCTTGGCCCTCCTATGTTGAACATAATAAATGTCTCCCTTTCCTCTGGATGTGAACCAAACTCACTAAAAGTGGCAGTAATAAAGCCTCTCTTGAAAAAGCCAAACCAAAGAAAATGTAAAAAAAACTATCGGCCTATATCGAATCTCCTATTCCTCTCAAAAAAAAATCGAAAAAGCTGTTGCGCAGCAACTCACTGCCTTCCTGAAGACAAATAATCTATACGAAATGCTTCAGTCTGGTTTTAGACCCCATCATAGCACTGACACTGCACTCGTGAAAGTGGTAAATGACCTTTTAATGGCGTCAGACCAAGGCTCTGCATCTGTCCTGGTGCTCCTAGACCTTAGTGCTATTTTTGACACCATCGATCATCACCATCAAAACCCTAATTGGTCTACATGGACAAGTTCTTGCCTGGTTTAGATCTTATCTGTCGGAAAGATATCAGTTCATCTCTATGGATGGGTTGTCTTCTGACAAATCAATTGTAAGTTTTGGTGTTCCTCAAAGTTCAGTTTTAGGACCACTTTTGTTTTCACTATATATTCTACCTCTTGGTGATGTCATTCGGAAACACAATGTCAACTTTAACTGATATGTGGACGACACACAGCTGTACATTTCGGGCGGCAGGTAGCTTAGTGGTTAAGAGCGTTGTGCCAGTAACCGAAAGGTCGCTGGTTCTAATCCCTGAGCCGACTAGGTGAAAAATCTGTCGATGTGCCCTTGAGCAAGGCACTTAACCCTAATTGCTCCTGTAAGTCGCTCTGGATAAGAGCGTCTGCTAAATGACTAAAATGTCAATGTAAATTTCGATGAAACATGGTGAAGCCCCAAAATTGCCTACCCTGGAAGCCTGTGTTTCAGACATAAGGAAGTGGATGGCGGCAAAATGTTTACTTTTAAACTCGGACAAAACAGAGATGCTAGTTCTAGGTCCCAAGAAACAAAGATCTTCTGTTGGATCTGACTATTAATATTAATGGTTGTACAGTCATCTCAAATTAAATCGTGAAGGACCTCGACATTACTCTGGACCATGATCACTCTTTTGACAGACATAAAGAATATTTAAAAGGACAGCTTTTTTCCATCTTCGTAACATTGCAAAAATGTTGTCCAAAAATGATTCAGAAAAGCTAATCCATGCTTTTGTCACTTCTAGATTAGACTACTGCAATGCTCTACTCTCTGGCTACCAGGATAAAGCACTAAATAAACTTCAGTTAGTGCTAAACACAGCTGCTAGAATCTTGACTAGAACCATGTGATCATATTACTCCAGTGCTAGCCTCTCTACACTGGCTTCCTGTTAAGGCTAGGGCTGATTTCAAGGTTTTACTGCTAACCTACAAAGCGTTACATGGGCTTTGCTCCTACCCATCTCTCCGATTTGGTCCTGCTGTACATACCTACACGTACGCTACGGTCACAAGACGCAGGCCTCCTTAATGTCCCTAGAATTTCTAAGCAAACAGCTGGAGGCAGAGCTTTCTCCTATAGAGCTCAATTTGTATGGAATGGTCTGCTTATCCATGTGAGACGCAGACTCGGTCTCAACCTGTAAGTCTTTACTGAAGACTCATCTCATTAGGTCCTATGATTGAGTGTAGTCTGGCCCAGGGGTGCGAAGGTGCCCTTGCTGTCTCTGCCTGGCCGGCTCCCCTCTCTCCACTGGGATTCTCTGCCTCTGACCCTATTACGGGGGCTGAGTCACTGGCTTACTGGTCCTTTCCATGCCGTCCCTAGGAGGGGTGCATCACTTGAGTGGGTTGAGTCACAGACGTGATCTTCCTGTACGGTTTTGCACCCCCTCAGTATCATGCGGTGGAGGAGATCTTTGTGGGCTATACTCAGCCTTGTCTCAGGGTAGTAGGTTGGTGGTCTGTTGATATCCCTTTCCAAGATGGCGTAGCAGTGCGGTCGCTTTTATTTCATCGTCCTTGTGTAAATATCCCGTTTCTTGTTTTTTTTGTGTCTATTTTGTATATATTTCTCAATTTTTTACTTTCATTCTTTAACTAAATATACTTTCCTGCAACCCGCCTCACCCAACGTGGAAAGGATTCTATTATTTCTTTATAACTTTCATCAAGAACCGTAAGCTGAAATGAGTGTAGCCGCAATCTTAATGGCTACCTGCTATTAGTCAACGTTAGCGTCTTCACCACTGTCCGTGGCCTACACTATCCACCAGCCAGCTCTAGCTCTAGCCTGGACAATTCGTCGGCCAGTCTGCACAGCGTGCTATCGACCCAGCGTGCTATCGACCCAGAGCTTATTGGACTTTCTGCCGGAATCACTGGACCCTAGCGCCGGATCATCACAACTAGCTAGCTAGCTGCAACCTGTTGTTGGCTGATTACCATTGCCCTATAGCAAGCACCAGTTAGCCTTGAGCTAGCCTCAAGCCCATCTCCCGGCTATCTACCTCTCTGTCAACCGGACGGGACCTCCTAGTGTTGACACTGAGCCCCGCCGATCCAACACGACTGGTTTGCCGACGAAATAGTCTGATGTGGTTTCAACAGGCTTCCCGTTGCGACGACCACGAAGATCCATCTGCCAGCCCCGGCCCGCTAGCACACGCAAACTACAACTGTGCTCCCTGCTAGCTGTGATGAATCACCAATTTGAACTGCTCTCGGACTCACATATTGCTGTTCACTGGACCTTATGATCACTCAGCTGCACAGCTGATGCCTGCTTCACTGTTCCTTTACACGGTACCCTGTCCTGTTTATTCTGTTTAGTCTTAGCCCAAACGTTATCGCTATTTCCAGTTGTGTCTTAGCTCTCTCTAATAACACCTGTGACTGCTTTATGCCTCTCTCCCATGTCAATTATGCCTTGCCTATTGCTGTTTGGGTTAGTTCTTATTATACAATTTCACTGTAGAACCCCAAGTCCCTCTCAAACTGCCTCATATAGTTCCTTTGTTCCACCCCCCATACACGCCGAGACCGGCTCAATCGATGCCTCCAATGACGCTATCTCTTTCATTGTTACCCAACGCTTAGGGTTACCTGAACTGTACTCATATCCTTCCATATCCTTTTCTGTACATAATGCCCTGAATCTTTTCTACAACGCCCGGAGAACTGCCCCCTTTATTCTATGTAACGCACTAGAAGACCAGTTTTTAAAGCCTTTAGTCGTATCCTTATTCTAGTCCTCCTCTGTTCCTCTGGTGATGTAGAGGCTAACCCAGGCCCTGCAGCCCCCAGTATCACTCCTACTCCCCAGGAGCTATCATTTGTTGACTTCTGTAACCGTAAAAGTCTTGGTTTTCTGCACATAAATATCAGAAGCCTCCTTCCTAAGTTTGTGTTATTCACTGCGTTAGCACACTCCGCCAACCCTGATGTTCTAGCAGTGTCTGAATCCTGGCTTAGGAAGGCCACCAAAAATTCTGAAATTTCCATCCCCAACTATAACATTTTCCGTCTAGATAGAACTGCCAAAGGGGGTGGAGTTGCAATCTACTGTAGAGATAGCCTGCAGAGCTCCATCATACTATCCAGGTCTGTGCCCAAACAGTTTGAGCTTCTACTTCTAAAAATCCACCTTTCCAGAAATAAATCTCTCACTGTTGCCGCTTGCTACAGACCCCCCCTCAGCCCCCAGCTGTGCCCTGGACACCATATGTGAATTGATTGCCCCCCATCTATCCTCAGAGTTCGTACTGCTTGGTGACCTAAATTGGGATATGCTTAACACCCCGGCCATCCTACAATCTAAACTAGATGCCCTCAATCTCACACAAATTATCAACGAACCTACCAGGTACAACCCTAAATCCGTAAACATGGGTACCCTCATAGATATCATCCTGACTAACTTACCCTCTAAATACACCTCCGCTGTCTTCAACCAGGATCTCAGCGATCACTGCCTTATTGCCTGCGTCCGTAACGGGTCCGCGGTCAAACGACCACCCCTCATCACTGTCAAACGCTCCCAAAAACACTTCAGCGAGCAGGCCTTCCTAATTGACCTGGCCCAGGTATCCTGGATGGATATTGATCTCATTCCGTCAGTAGAGAATGCCTGGTTGTTCTTTAAAAGTAATTTCCTCTCAATCTTAAATAGACATGCCCCATTCAAAAAATACAGAACTAAGAACAGATATAGCCCCTGGTTCTCCTCAGACTTGACTGCCCTTGACCAGCACAAAAACATCCTGTGGCGTACTGCATTAGCATCAAATAGCCCCCGCGATATGCAACTTTTCAGGGAAGTTAGGAACCAATATACACAAGCAGTTAGGAAAGCAAAGGCTAACTTTTTCAAACAGACATTTGCATCCTGTAGCACTAACTCCAAAAAGTTTTGGGACACTGTAAAGTCCATGGAAAATAAGAGCACTTCCTCCCAGCTGCCCACTGCACTGAGGCTAGGAAACACTATCACCACCGATAAATCTACAATAATCGAGAATTTCAACAAGCATTTTGCTACGGCTGGCCATGCTTTCCACCTGGCTACCACTACCCCCGGCCACCAGCTCTGCACCCTCCGCTGCAACTTGCCCATGCCCCCCCCCGCTTCTCCTTCACACAAATCCAGACAGCTGATGTTCTAAAAGAGCTGCAAAATCTGGACCCCTACAAATCATCTGGGCTAGACAATCTGGACCCTTTCTTTCTAAAACTAGCCGCCGAAATTGTCGCAACCCCTATTACTAGCCTGTTCAACCTCTCTTTCGTAACGTCTGAGATCCCCAGAGATTGGAAAGCTGCCGCGGTCATCCCCCTCTTCAAAGGGGGTGACACTCTAGATCCAAACTGTTACAGACCCATATCCATCCTGCCCTGCCTTTCAAAACGTTTTTGAAAGCCAAGTCAACAAACAGATCACCGACCATTTCGAATCCCACCGTACCTTCTCCGCTATGCAATCCGGTTTCCGAGCAGGTCATGGGTGCACTTCAGCCACGCTCAAGGTCCTAAACGATATTATAACCGCAATCGATAATAGACAGTACTGTGCAGCCGTTTTCATTGACCTGGCCAAGGCTTTCGACTCTGTCAACCACCGCATTCTTATTGGCAGACTAAATAGCCTTGGTTTCTCAAATGACTGCCTCGCCTGGTTCACCAACTACTTCTCAGATAGAGTTCAATGTGTCAAATCGGAGGGCCTGTTGTCTGGACCTATGGCAGTCTCTATGGGGGTGCCACAGGGTTCAATTCTTGGGCCGACTCTTTTCTCTGTGTATATCAATGATGTCGCTCTTGCTGCTGGTGACTCTCAGATCCACCTCTACGCAGACGACACCATTTTGTATACATCTGGCCCTTCATTGGACACTGTGTTAACAAACCTCCAAACGAGCTTCAATTCCATACAACACTCCTTCAGTAGCCTCCAACTGCTCTTAAACACTAGTAAAACTAAATGCATGCTCTTCAACCAAACGCTGCTTGCACCCGCCTACCCGACTAGAATCACTACTCTCGACGGGTCTGACCTAGAGTATGTGGACAACTACAAATATCTAGGTGTCTGGTTAGACTGTAAACTCTCCTTCCAGACTCACATTAAGAATCTCCAATCCAAAGTTAAATCTAGAATCGGTTTCCTATTTCGCAACAAAGCCTCCTTCACTCATGCTGCCAAACATGCCCTCGTAAAACTGACTATCCTACCGATCCTTGACTTCGGCGATGTCATTTACAAAATAGCCTCCAACACTATACTCAGCAAATTGGATGTAGTCTATCACAGTGCCATCCGTTTTGTCTCCAAAGCCCCATATAATACCCACCACTGTGACCTGTACGCTCTTGTTGGCTGGTCCTCACTACATATTCGTCGCCAAACCCACTGGCTCCAGGCCATCTATAAATCACTGCTAGGCAAATCCCCGCCTTATCTTAGCTCATTGGTCACCATAGCAACACCCACCCGTAGTCTGCGCTCCAGCGGGTATATCTCACTGGTCATCCCCAAAGCCAACACCTCCTTTGGCCGCAATTCCTTCCAGTTCTCTGCTGCCAATGACTGGAACAAATTGCAAAAATCTCTGAAGCTGGAGACACTTATCTCCCTCACTAACTTTAAGCATCAGTTGTCAGAGCACCTTACCGATCACTGCACCTGTACACAGCCCATCTGAAATTAGCCCGCCCAACTACCTCATCCCTATATTGTTATTTATTTTGCTCATTTGTACCCCAGTATCTCTATTTGCACATCATCTCTTGCACATCTATCATTCCAGTGTTAATACTAATTGTAATTATTTTGCACTATAGCCTATTTTATTGCCTTACCTCCATAACTTGCTAAATTTGCACACTGTATATTATATGTATTTCTGTTGTATTTTTGACTTTGTTTTGTTTTACCCCATATGTAACTCTGTGTTGTTGTTTTTATCGCACTGCTTTGCTTTATCTTGGCCAGGTCGCAGTTGTAAATGAGAACTTGTTCTCAACTGGTTTTCCTGGTTAAATAAAGGTGAAATAAATAAAATAAAAAATCCCTCTGGTGGTGTGGGGGCTGTGCTTTGGCAAAGTGGGTGGGGTTATATGCTACCTGGTTGGCCCTGTCCGGGGGTATCGTCGGACGGGGCCACAGTGTCCCCCGACCCGTCTATGATGCAATAGTCTGTGCTCCGGGGGGCTAGGGTCAGTCTGTTATATCTGGTGTAATTCTCCTGTCTTATCTGGTGTCCTGTGTGAATTTAAGTATGATCCCTCTAATTCTCTCTCTCTCCCTCTCTCCCTCCCCTCCCAGAGGACCTGAGCCCTAGGACCATGCCTCAGGACTACCTGGCCTGATGACTCCTGCTGTCCCCAGTCCACCTGGTCGTGCTGCTGCTCCAGTTTCAACTGTTCTGCCTGCGGCTATGGAACCCTGACCTGTTCACCGGACGTACTACCTTGTCCCGGACCTGCTGTTTTGAACCCTCTACTACATTTTACATTTTAGTCATTTAGCAGACACTCTTATCCAGACCACTGTGATTATTATTTGACCCTGCTGGTCATCTATGAACATTTGAACATCTTGAAGAACAATCTGGCCTTAATGGCCATGTACTCTTATAAACTCCACCCGGCACAGCCAGAAGAGGACTGGCCACCCCTCAGAGCCTGGTTCCTCTCTAGGTTTCTTCCTAGGTTCCTGCCTTTCTAGGGAGATTTTCTTAGCCACCCCGTGCTTCTACATCTGCATTGCTTGCTGTTTGGGGTTTTAGGCTGGGTTTCTGTGTATAACTTTGTGACATCTGATGTAAAAAGGGCTTTATAAATACATTTGATTGATTGATTGAACTAGGTACCTCTCTTCTCGTGGTTCAGGACTGCCCTGAGAGGGAGACACTGTCTGGGGTGTATGTAGTAGGTTGTATATAGTAGTAGTAGTACTAGAGGTATAGTGTAGTAGTAATAGAGTAGTAGGTAGCGTGAATATATAGTAGTAGTTATAGTATAGTGTGTGTATATTAAAATTAGTAAATGTAGTAGTTAGTTAGTATAGGAGTGGTAGTATTAATATGAGTAGTAGTAGATAGGTAGTATAGGGGAGTATTCTTTTTGTAGTGTAGTATGTAGAGTGTTATAGTAGTAGAGTCAGTATAGGGGAGTATAATTAATATTTTTAAAAGTGGTAGTAAGGGTTTTATTAAATATTAGGTAGTAGTTTAAATAGTGTAAGTATGTGGGTTTTTAATATTTGTAGTAGTAGTGTGTATAGTAGTATTGAGTGTGTATTGTATTTTGTATGTATGTTGTAGTAAGTATGTGTAGATAGTAAAGTAGTTAGTGTTTGAGCAGTGTAGTAGTAGCATCAGTTATGGTAGTTGTAGTATTCGTAGTCGCTCAGCAGGTAATATGAACCCATAACAACATTACAATGTCACGATTTGATTAGTGTACGTTGGCTAGCTACATAGTTTAATTTTGGTCTCAAGATAAAGGGTTTAGTATAGAGTTAACTATCGGGTTAGCTAGCCGCGTATTCGTTCGCAGCGACGCCGTTTTTCAAACAATTCCACACAGCAGTCCTTTCTACTACACACTACCACACTACCAGCTAGCATTACTGTAGCAACTAAAATACAATATCCTTTTAGCCAGCTAACATTCGTTCGCAGCGACGCCGTTTTCAAACAAGTCATCACCGCAGCCATTGCTAGCTAGCCAACGCTACCAGCTAGCAGTACTATAGCAACTAAATACAATATAATTTTAGCCAGCTACATTCGTTCACAGCGACGCCGTTTTTTTTTTTTTTCAAACAAAGTCAACACAGCAGCCATTGCTAGCTAGCCAACACTACCAGCTAGCGGTACTGTAGCAGCTAAATACAATATCTTTGTGCTAGCTAGCCAACGTTTAATTATTGCTGCGTTATGAAAGGAACTAGACACGGACACAAATTATTATTATTATTATTATTATTATATTTATTATTCCACTCCTCTCCTCTTTTGACCTCACCCTCTCACCGTCCCCCCCGTCCCCCCTACTCACAAGGCAGGCAATACGCTTGACCTCATCTTTACTAGATGCTGCTCTTCTACTAATCTCACTGCAACTCCCCTCCATGTCTCCGACCACTACTTTGTATCCTTTTCTCTCTCGCTCTCCTCCAACACTACTCACTCTGCCCCTACACAGATGGTAATGCGCCGCCGCAACCTTCGCTCTCTCTCTCCCACTACTCTCTCCTCTTCCATCCTATCATCTCTTCCCTCTGCTCAATCCTTCTCCCTCCAATCACCTGATTCTGCCTCCTCAACCCTCCTCTCCTCCCTTTCTGCATCCTTTGACTCTCTGTGTCCCCTATCCTCCCGGCCGGCTCGGTCCTCCCCTCCAGCTCCGTGGCTTGATGACTCATTGCGAACTCACAGAACAGAGCTCCGGGCAGCTGGGCGGAAATGGAAGAAAACTAGACTCCCTGCGGACCTGGCATCCTTTCACTCCCTCCTCTCTACATTTTCTTCATCTGTTTCTGCTGCTAAGGCCACTTTCTACCACTCTAAATTCCAAGCATCTGCCTCTAACCCTAGGAAGCTCTTTGCCACATTCTCCTCCCTGCTGAATCCTCCTCCCCCCCCCCCCCTCCCTCTCTGTGGATGACTTCGTCAACCACTTTGAAAAGAAGGTTGACGACATCCGATCCTCGTTTGTTAAGTCTAATGACACTGCTGGTCCTGCTCACACTGCCCTACCCTATGCTTTGACTTATTTCTCCCCTCTCTCTCCAGATAAAATCTTGCGACTTGTGACTGCAGGCCGCCCAACAACCTGCCCGCTTGACCCTATCCCCTCCTCTCGTCTCCAGACCATCTCCGGTGACCTTCTCCCCTACCTCACCTCGCTGATCAACTCATCCTTGACCGCTGGCTATGTCCCTTCTGTCTTCAAGAGAGCGAGAGTTGCACCCCTTCTCAAGAAACCAACACTCGATCCCTCTGATGTCAACAACTACAGACCAGTATCCCTTCTTTCTTTTCTTTCCAAAACTATTGAGCGTGCCGTCTTTAGCCAACTCTCTTGCTATCTCTCTCAGAATGACCTTCTTGATCCAAACCAGTCAGGTTTCAGGACTGGTCATTCAACTGAGACTGCTCTTCTCTGTGTCACGGAGGCTCTCCGCACTGCTAAAGCTAACTCTCTATCCTCTGCTCTTGTCCTTCTAGACCTGTCTGCCGCCTTTGATACTGTGAACCATCAGATCCTCCTCTCCACCCTCTCCGAGCTGGGCATCTCCGGCGCGGCTCACTCTTGGATTGCGTCCTACCTGACCGGTCGCTCCTACCAAGTGGCGTGGCGAGAAGCTGTCTCCGCACCACGTGCTCTCACCACTGGTGTCCCCCAGGGCTCAGTTCTAGGCCCTCTCCTATTCTCGCTATACACCAAGTCACTTGGCTCTGTCATATCCTCACATGGCCTCGCCTATCATTGCTACGCTGACGATACACAACTAATCTTCTCCTTTCCCCCTTCTGATAACCAGGTGGCGAATCGCATCTCTGCATGTCTGGCAGACATATCAGTATGGATGACGGATCACCACCTCAAGCTGAACCTTGGCAAGACGGAGCTGCTCTTCCTCCCGGGGTAGGACTGCCCGTTCCATGATCTCGCCATCACGGTTGACAACTCCGTTGTGTCCTCCTCCCAGAGTGCGAAGAGCCTTGGCGTGACCCTGGACAACACCCTGTCGTTCTCCGCTAACATCAAGGCGGTGACCTGATCCTGCAGGTTCATGCTCTACAACATTCGGAGAGTACGACCCTGCCTTACACAGGAAGCGGCACAGGTCCTAATCCAGGCACTTGTCATCTCCCGTCTGGATTACTGCAACTCGCTGTTGGCTGGGCTCCCTGCCTGTGCCATTAAACCCCTACAACTCATCCAGAATGCCGCAGCCCGTCTGGTGTTCAACCTTCCCAAGTTCTCTCACGTCACCCCGCTCCTCCGCACACTCCACTGGCTTCCAGTTGAAGCTCGCATCTGTTACAAGACCATGGTGCTTGCCTATGGGGCTGTGAGGGGAACGGCACCTCCGTACCTTCAGGCTCTGATCAGTCCCTACACCCAAACGAGGGCATTGCGTTCATCCACCTCTGGCCTGCTGGCTCCCCTTCCTCTGCGGAAGCATAGTTCCCGCTCAGCCCAGTCAAAACTGTTCGCTGCTCTGGCACCCCAATGGTGGAACAAGCTCCCTCACGACGCCAGGACAGTGGAGTCACTCACCACCTTCCGGAGACATTTGAAACCCCACCTCTTTAAGGAATACCTGGGATAGAATAAAGTAATCCTTCTAACCCCCCCCCCCCCCCTAAAAAAAATATATATATATATATATAAAAATAAAAATAAAAATAGGGTGAATGCACCAATTTGTAAGTCGCTCTGGATAAGAGTAGTAGTAGGTGTGTTGTAGTAGTAGTAGTAATAGTAGTAGTAGGTGTGTTGTAGTAGTAGTAGTAGTGTTGTAGTAGTAGCAGTAGTAGTAGTAGTAGTAGGTGTGTTGTAGTAGTAGCAGTAGTAGTAATAGTAGTAGTAGGTGTGTTGTAGTAGTAGTAGCAGTAGCAGTAGTAGTAGTAGGTGTGTAGTAGTAGTAGTAGTAGTAGCAGCAGTAGCAGTAGTAGTAGTAGTAGTAGTAGTAGTAGGTGTGTAGTAGTAGTAGTAGTAGTAGTAGTAGCAGTAGTAGTAGTAGTAGTAGTAGTAGTAGTAGCAGTAGTAGTAGTAGTGTGTAGTAGCAGTAGTAGTAACTATGTACCTCTCTTCCCGTGGTTCAGGGCTGCCCTGGGTAGGAGACACCGTACTGGTGGGGGTTGACGGCTCTTTCCTCTTCTCCTCCGACGACTTGTCTCCACCTCCTGGCTCATCTGCCGTCCAATGAAAATACAGGATCACACATTACAGCTGGGGCTTATTCACAGTGCATTCAGGTAGAGAAGTAGTACTCAGTACTGGAGTAAAAGTCAATCCAGCTGTAATGTGTTACATGTAGATAACATGTATACTAGTAATGTGTTACTAACCGAGGAGTTTATTCCAGGACTTGATTAGGGCCTTGTTATGTAGTCTATACCACTAATGTGTGGAGGCAGTCTATACCACTAATGTGTAGAGGCAGTCTATACCACTAATGTGTAGAGGCAGTCTATACCACTAATGTGTAGAGGCAGTCTATACCACTAATGTGTGGAGGCAGTCTATACCACTAATGTGTGGAGGCAGTCTATACCACTAATGTGTGGAGGCAGTCTATACCACTAATGTGTGGAGGCAGTCTATACCACTAATGTGTGGAGGCAGTCTATACCACTAATGTGTGGAGGCAGTCTATACCACTAATGTGTGGAGGCAGTCTATACCACTAATGTGTGGAGGCAGTCTATACCACTAATGTGTGGAGGCAGTCTATACCACTAATGTGTGGAGGCAGTCTATACCACTAATGTGTGGAGGCAGTCTATACCACTAATGTGTGGAGGCAGTCTATACCACTAATGTGTGGAGGCAGTCTATACCACTAATGTGTGGAGGCAGTCTATACCACTAATGTGTGGAGGCAGTCTACACCACTAATGTGTGGAGGCAGTCTACACCACTAATGTGTGGAGGCAGTCTACACCACTAATGTGTGGAGGCAGTCTACACCACTAATGTGTGGAACTAATGTGTGGAGGCAGTCTATACCACTAATGTGTGGAGGCAGTCTATACCACTAATGTGTAGAGGCAGTCTATACCACTAATGTGTAGAGGCAGTCTATACCACTAATGTGTAGAGGCAGTCTATACCACTAATGTGTAGAGGCAGTCTATACCACTAATGTGTAGAGGCAGTCTATACCACTAATGTGTAGAGGCAGTCTATACCCTAATGTGAAGCCTATACCACTAATGTGTGAAGGCAGTCTATACCACTAATGTGTGGAGGCAGTCTATACCACTAATGTGTGGAGGCAGTCTATACCACTAATGTGTGGAGGCAGTCTATACCACTAATGTGTGGAGGCAGTCTATACCACTAATGTGTGGAGGCAGTCTATACCACTAATGTGTGGAGGCAGTCTATACCACTAATGTGTGGAGGCAGTCTATACCACTAATGTGTGGAGGCAGTCTATACCACTAATGTGTAGAGGCAGTCTATACCACTAATGTGTAGAGGCAGTCTATACCACTAATGTGTAGAGGCAGTCTATACCACTAATGTGTGGAGGCAGTCTATACCACTAATGTGTGAGGCAGTCTATACCACTAATGTGTGGAGGCAGTCTATAACCACTAATGTGTGGAGGCAGTCTATACCACTAATGTGTGGAGGCAGTCTATACCACTAATGTGTGGAGGCAGTCTACACCACTAATGTGTGGAGGCAGTCTATACCACTAATGTGTGGAGGCAGTCTATACCACTAATGTGTGGAGGCAGTCTATACCACTAATGTGTGGAGGCAGTCTATACCACTAATGTGTGGAGGCAGTCTATACCACTAATGTGTGGAGGCAGTCTATACCACTAATGTGTGGAGGCAGTCTATACCACTAATGTGTAGAGGCAGTCTATACCACTAATGTGTAGAGGCAGTCTATACACTAATGTGTAGAGGCAGTCTATACCACTAATGTGTAGAGGCAGTCTATACCACTAATGTGTAGAGGCAGTCTATACCACTAATGTGTGAGGCAGTCTATACCACTAATGTGTGGAGGCAGTCTATACCACTAATGTGTGGAGGCAGTCTAATAACCACTAATGTGTGGAGGCAGTCTATAACCACTAATGTGTAGGAGGCAGTCTATACCACTAATGTGTGGAGGCAGTCTATACCACTAATGTGTGGAGGCAGTCTATACCACTAATGTGTGGAGGCAGTCTACACCACTAATGTGTGGAGGCAGTCTACACCACTAATGTGTGGAGGCAGTCTACACCACTAATGTGTGGAGGCAGTCTATACCACTAATGTGTGGAGGCAGTCTATACCACTAATGTGTGGAGCAGTCTATACCACTAATGTGTGGAGGCAGTCTAACCACTATGTGTGGAGGCAGTCTATACCACTAATGTGTGGAGGCAGTCTATACCACTAATGTGTAGAGGCAGTCTATACCACTAATGTGTAGAGGCAGTCTATACCACTAATGTGTAGAGGCAGTCTATACCACTAATGTGTAGAGGCAGTCTATACCACTAATGTGTAGAGGCAGTCTATACCACTAATGTGTGGAGGCAGTCTATACCACTAATGTGTGGAGGCAGTCTATACCACTAATGTGTAGAGGCAGTCTATACCACTAATGTGTGGAGGCAGTCTATACTAGTACTGATCTATTAACAGGTAGGACCAGGTTACATGTAGACTAGTAATGGCCCAGCCCCTGTGTAATGATCATGCTGTTTAATCAGCTTCTTGATATGCCACACCTGTCAGGTGGATGGATTATCTTGGTAAAGAAGAAATGCTCACTAACAGGGATGGAAACACATTTGGGCACAAAATTAGCAAGAAATAACCATTTTGTGCGTATGGAACCTTTCTGGGATCTTTTATTTCAGCTCATGAAACATGGGACCAACACTTTACATGTTGTGTTTATATTTTTGTTCAATATAGACAGTAATGATGATCTACTACCAGATAGGACCAGGAGTTTCTTCTATGACTTGATGAGGGCCTTGGCCAGAGAGAGATCTGTATACTAGTAATGAGCTACTAACCCAGGAGATGAGGGCCTTGGCCAGAGAGAGATCTGCATACTAGTAATGAGCTACTAACCCAGGAGATGAGGGCCTTGGCCAGAGAGAGACCTGGATACTAGTAATGAGCTACTAACCCAGGAGATGAGGGCCTTGGCCAGAGAGAGATCTGGATACTAGTAATGAGCTACTAACCCAGGAGATGAGGGCCTTGGCCAGAGAAGAGATCTGCATACTAGTAATGAGCTACTAACCGGAGATGAGGGCCTTGGCCAGAGAGATATCTGTATCTCGATGAGGGGCTATACTAGTAAGGAGAACCCCGGGGTATGGCCTTGGCCAAAGATCTGCATCTAGTATGAGCTCACTAACCCAGAGATGGGCCTTGCCGAGGAGTCTTATACTGTAATGAGCTCAACCCAAATGGCCCTTGGCCAAAAAGGGATCGGATCCAGTAATTCTCTACCCCAGGAATAGGCCCTTGCCCAAGGAGAGATCTGTACATAAGGAGCTACTAACCCGGTGAAGGCCTTGGCCGAGAAGATCTGGATACTATAATAGCTACTACCCAGGTGGGCCTTTGGCCAAGAGAATCTATACTAGTAAGAGCTACTAACCCGGGAATAGGGCCTTGGCAGAAGAAGATCGGGATATATTAGGAGCTACTACCCGAGATGAGGGCCTTGGCCAGAGAAGATCTGGTTTACTGTAAGAGCTACAAACCAGGATAGGGCCTTCCAAGAAATCTGTATACTATAATGAGCTACTAACCCAGGAGTTTCTTCCAGGACTTGATGAGGGCCTTGGCCAGAGAGGTGACCTCATCGTCTGTACTCTGCTTCCTGATGGCGTTCACAGACATCCCGATCCTGGTGGACTGGAGACGAGAGAGAGAGAGAGACTAACGTTATGCTGCAGGAGAGACATGGGTTCAGTATAGAGAGAGATTAGAGTTCAGTACTTCTAAACCCCAACAAACAGGGGAAAGGTACAGCCCTCCCCCTCCCTCCTCCATCCACCCCCCCCTCCCCCCTCCATCCACCCCCCCCCTCCCTCCCTCCCTCCTCCATCCACCCCCCCTCCCTCCCTCCCTCCCTCCTCCATCCACCCCCCCCCTCCCTCCCCCTCCCTCCCTCCTCCATCCATCCCCCCCCTCCCTCCCTCCCCTCCTCCCTCCCTCCCTCCCTCCCTCCCTCCCTCCTCCATCCATCCCTCCCTGCCTCCCTCCCTCTCTCCCTCCCTCCCTCCCTCCCTCCCTCTCTCCCTCCCTCCCTCCCTCTCTCCCTCCCTCCCTCCCTCCCTTTTACTGAGGAGTGGCTTCCGTCTGGCGACTCTAACATAAAGGCCTGATTGGTGGAGTGCTGCAGAGATGGTTGTCCTTCTGGAAGGTTCTCCCATCTCCACAGAGTGACCATTGGGTTCTTGGTCACCTCCCTGACCAAGGCCCATCTCCCCCGATTACTGAATTTGGCCGGGCGGCCAGCTCTAGGAAGAATCTTGGTGGTTCCAAACTTCTTCCATTTAAGAATGATGAGGCAACTGTGTTCTTGGGGACCTTCAATGCTGCAGAAATGTTTTGAGAAACCTGAGCTCAATTTGGAGTCTCATAGCAAAGGGTCTGAATACTTATGTAAAGAAGGTATATATTTTATTATTTCTTTTTCTGAAAACATTTCTAAAAACCTGTTTTCGCTTGATCATTATGAGGTATTGTGTTTAGATTTATGGATACTTTTTTTTTTTCAATCCATTTTAGAACAAAGCTGTAATGTAACAAAAATGTAGAAAAAAGGAAGGGGTCTGAATAGTTCCCGAATGAGCTCCTTCCATCCATCTCCTTCTCCCCCCTCTACCCCTCCCCCCTCCTCTACCCCTCCCTCCTTCTCCCCCCCCTCTCCCCCCCCCCCCCCCCTCTCTCCCCCATCTACCCCTCCCCCCTCTACCCCTCCCCCCCTCCCTCTCTCTCTCCCCCCCCTCTACCCCTCCCTCTCCCTCCCTCTCTCTCTCCCCCCCCCATCCAGTACCTGTACTAACTCTACAGTCATTGGTACAGCCCTCCCTCCCCCCCTCCAGTACCAGTCATTGGTACAGCCCTCCCTCCCCCCCTCCAGTACCAGTCATTGGTACAGCCCCTCCCTCCCCCCTCCAGTACCAGTCATTGGTACAGCCCTCCCTCCCCCCTCCAGTACCAGTCATTGGTACAGCCCCCCCCCCCCCCCAGTACCAGTCATTGGTACAGCCCTCAGCTCCCCCCTCCAGTACCAGTCATTGGTACAGCCCTCAGCTCCCCCCTCCAGTACCAGTCATTGGTACAGCCCTCCCTCCCCCCTCCAGTACCAGTCATTGGTACAGCCCTCAGCTCCCCCCTCCAGTACCAGTCATTGGTACAGCCCTCCCTCCCCCCTCCAGTACCAGTCATTGGTACAGCCCTCAGCTCCCCCCTCCAGTACCAGTCATTGGTACAGCCCTCCCTCCCCCCCTCCAGTACCAGTCATTGGTACAGCCCTCAGCTCCCCCCTCCAGTACCAGTCATTGGTACAGCCCTCCCTCCCCCCCTCCAGTACCAGTCATTGGTACAGCCCTCCCTCCCCCCTCCAGTACCAGTCATTGGTACAGCCCTCCCTCCCCCCCTCCAGTACCAGTCATTGGTACAGCCCTCAGCTCCCCCCTCCAGTACCAGTCATTGGTACAGCCCTCCCTCCCCCCTCCAGTACCAGTCATTGGTACAGCCCTCCCTCCCCCCCTCCAGTACCAGTCATTGGTACAGCCCTCCCTCCCCCCCTCCAGTACCAGTCATTGGTACAGCCCTCCCTCCCCCCCTCCAGTACCAGTCATTGGTACAGCCCTCCCTCCCCCCTCCAGGTAACCAGTCATTGGTACACCCTCCTCCCCCCTCCAGTACCAGTCATTGGTTACCAGCCCTCCCTCCCCCTCCAGTACCTGTAGTAATTCTAGCGTCATAGGTACAGCCCTCAGCTCCTTCAGAAGGTCCAGTGCCCCTACCTGCAACAGCAACAACAAACTGAGGGTTAGGGTTGAGGCACAGATATTCTAGTTTAGGTAGGCAGGTTGGTGCTGCAACAACATCAATCATATCATACTGGGGGTTATGGTATAGGGTAGGAAGGTTAGTGAGGAGGAAGGTTAGGTAGAGGTAGGAAGGTTAGGTAGAGGTAGGAAGGTTAGGTAGAGGTAGGAAGGTTAGGTAGAGGTAGGAAGGTTAGGTAGAGGTAGGAAGGTTAGGTAGAGGTAGGAAGGTTAGGTAGAGGTAGGAAGGTTAGGTAGAGGTAGGAAGGTTAGGTAGAGGTAGGCAAGGTTTAGTAGGGTCGAATTTAGGTAGGGTGGGAAAGGTTTAGGTAGGGTAGGAAGTTTTGGTAGGTAGGAAGTTTAGGTAGAGGTAGAAGGTAGTTGAGGTAGGCGGTTTGGTAGAGGTAGGTGGTTTTGTAGGTAGGCGGTTTTGGGAAGGTAGGAATTTTAGGTTTTGCGTAGGGGTTTTTAGGGGAGGAAGGTTTGGTAGGGGATGGTTAGGGAGTCGTTTTTTAGGTGGAGGTTATTCATGTAAGGTTTCGGTGTCCGGGGTTTTGGTTCGCAGTTCTGGGGTTTGGTAAGTTCGTGGCAGAAGGTTTCGGTGGTCGAGTTTTAGGTACGGTCGAAGTTCGGTGGTTTTGCTTTGTTCTGTCAGGTGAGCTATGGGTGACGTTTTTTCGTAGTTTTTGTGCGTTTCTTTTGTGTTTTGTTCGTCGCGTCTTTGGTTTGAGTTTTTGTTGGTCGGCTTTCGTCCGGGCCCTTCCCGGCGGTTGGTCCGGTTTTGCCGGTTTCTTCCGTCGGCCCGGGTTGGTCGGGTCGGCCGCTTCGGTAGCGGTCGGCCGTTTGGTGCGGTAGGACGGTTTGGGTGAGGTCGGCCGTTGGGCCGGTAAGGGGTTTGGTGGGTCGGCCGGGTTTTGGGCGCGGTCGGACGGTTGGTCGGTTGGCCGTTCGTAGGTGGCCTTTTGGTCGCGGTAGGCGGGGCGGTCGGCGGTTTTGGTCGGGTCCGTTTCGGTGCGGTCGGCGGGTTGGTGCGGTCGGCGGTTCGGTGCGGTCGGCCGGTTCGGTCGCGTTTGGCCGGGTTTGGGCGCGGTAGGCCGGTTCGGTCGCGGTCGGCCGTTTGGTCGGGTCGGCCGGTTGGTGCGGTCGGCCGGTTCGTCGCGGTCCCCGGGTTTGGTCGCGGTTGGCCGGTTCGGTCGCGTCGGCCCCGGGTTGGGGCGGTGGCGGTTCGGTCGCGGGCGGACGGTTCGTGGTCGGCCGGTTCGGGGGGTCGGGGTTGGTCGTTCGGGGTTCGGTCGCCGGTTCGGTCGCTCGGCGGTCGGTCGGTTCTTCCGGTCGGCCGGTTCGGTAAGGTTTCGGTTCGGTCGCGGTCGGCGGTTCGGTCGGTCGGTCAGGTTTTCTTCCGGTCGGTTCGGTGCGTGGTGTCGGCCGGTTCGGTCTGTCGGTGGCGGTTCTGGTCGCCGGTCGGTTCGCGTCGCCGGTTCGGTCGCGGTCGGCCGGTTTCGAGGTCGCCGGTTCGGTCGCGGTGCGGTTGTCGGGTCGGCCGGTTCGGTTAGGGTGGAAGTTATGCGGTGGCCGGTTTCGGTCGGTGGCCGGTTCGTCGCGGTGGCCGTTCGGTCGCGGTCGGCGGTTCGGTCGGTGGCGTGTTCGGTAGCGGTCTAGGTTTCGGTGCGCGGTGCCGTTTCGGTCGCGGGCCGTTGGTCGCGGTGGCGGTCGGTCCGGTCGGCCTTTGCAGGTTGGTCGAGGTTAGTTAGGTCGGTGCGGTTAGTAGAGGTAGGAAGGTTAGGTATGCTGGTGAGGATAGGTTGAGCTAGTCAGGTTAGATTGAGGTAAGGTTAGGTTGAGGTAGGAAGGTTAGGTAGAGGTAGGCAGGTTAGGTAGAGGTAGGCAGGTTAGGTAGAGGTAGGAAGGTTAGGTTGAGGTAGTCAGGTTCGGTTGAGGTACGCTGGTAAGGTTAGGTTGAGGTAGTCAGGTTAGATTGAGGTAAGGTTAGATTGAGGTAGGCGGGCTACTAGTGATGCCCCAGGCTGCAACAGCAACAACATACAGTGTAGAGGCAGGTTGATGTAGCGAGGCAGGCTGGGGTGGGTGATAGGTTGATGTAGCGAGGCAGGCTAGGGTGGGTGATAGGTTGATGTAGCGGGCAGGCTGGGGTGGGGTGATAGTTGATGTAGCGAGGCAGGCTAGGGTTGGGTGATAGGTTTGATGTAGCGAGGCAGGCTAGGGTGGGTGATAGGTTGAGTAGCGGAGGCAGGCTGGGGTGGGTGATAGGTTGATGTAGCGAGGCAGGCTGGGGGTGGGTGATAGGTTGAATGTAGCGAGGCAGGCTAGGGTGGGTGATAGGTTGATGTAGCGAGGCAGCTAGGGTGGGTGATAGGTTGATGTAGCGAGGCAGGCTGGGGTGGGTGATAGGTTGATGTAGCGAGGCAGGCTAGGGTGGGTGATAGGTTGATGTAGCGAGGCAGGCTAGGGTGGGTGATAGGTTGATGTAGCGAGGCAGGCTAGGTGGGTGATAGGTTGATGTAGCGAGGCAGGCTAGGGTGGGTGATAGGTTGATGTAGCGAGGCAGGCTGGGGTGGGTGATAGGTTGATGTAGCGAGGCAGGCTAGGGTGGGTGATAGGTTGATGTAGCGAGGCAGGCTGGGGTGGGTGATAGGTTGATGTAGCGAGGCAGGCTGGGGTGATAGGTTGATTAGGGGTGGATGCTAGTTGATGTAGCGAGGCATGGGGTGGGGTGATAGGTTGATGTAGCGAGGCAGGCTAGGGTGGGTGATAGGTTGATGTAGCGAGGCAGGCTGGGGTGGGTGATAGGTTGATGTAGCGAGGTCAGGCTAAGGGTGGGTGATAGGTTGATGTAGCAAGGCAGGCTGGGGTGGGTGATAGGTTGATGTAGCGAGGCAGGCTAGGGTGGGTGATAGGTTGATGTAGCGAGGCAGGCTAGGGTGGGTGATAGGTTGATGTAGCGAGGCAGGCTGGGGTGGGTGATAGGTTGATGTAGCGAGGCAGGCTAGGGTGGGTGATAGGTTGATGTAGCAAGGCAGGCTGGGGTGGGTGATAGGTTGATGTAGCGAGGCAGGCTAGGGTGGGCGTGTCAACCATTTGACAGTGTAGGAAGGCGTCAATAGTTGCATGTTGCAATTCAGTTGTAAATAATGACAGACAGTTTAAAGCATAACTACGTGATCATGGTGCCGGACCAACTCTGATAGACCGCTAAGCTAGCTAGTTGCTAGCCAAATAGAAACAGTTTTAGAACGATAGCTAGCCAAGCAAGTTGATTACTTTTATAGCCCCCTGGTAAGCGATTGGTAATAAAATACCTGGTTAGCTGGCAATCAACTAGCGAGCTACATAGCTACTAGGGATGTAACGATTCACCGATACGCATCAGCCCCCGGTTCAAATGTTTAAGATAAGAGTGCACAGGTCCGAGGGAGCCCAAAACGATCCAAATTATATTAAATCAATTGCCTGGCTGTGACATCCAATTTATATTAAAGTTGCAACATGTAACTTTTTGGGTGAACATACCAAATGAACATAGAAATGTGTGTTATAGATCCGTCATTGTCATTGAAAGCCAGTCTAAGAAGCTGTATATCTGTTCTATATGCTCTATTTCTATGCTTCCTGTTCTCAAGTTTTGTTTTTGCGTCTTTTACTTTAGGTTTTGTACATCAGCTTCAAACAGCTGAAAATATAATATTGTTGGTTATGGAAAATATATTTCACAGCGGTTTAGATGGTACAATGATTCTCTACACTATACTTGCTTGTTTTGTCATATACACTTAAATTAGGCGAACTATTAGAATTTTAGCAACCAGGTGGAGCGATTTCTTCATAGTGCATCTTCAAAAAAGAATCGCCTGGCTGTGACAGACTGTCACGATCGTTTACGGACGAGACGGACCAAGGCGCAGCGTGATAAGCGTACATGTTTATTTAAGTACTGAACACCCGACAAAACAACAAACAAACGATACGTGAAGTCCAAGGTAACATACAAACACCATACCTTACACGGAACAAGATCCCACAACTAACTGGTGCCAACAAGCTGCCTAAGTATGGTCCCCAATCAGAGACAACAAGCTACAGCTGCCTCTGATTGGGAACCACCCTGGCCAACATAGATCTACCCGATCTAGACACTAAACATAGCAAACTTAACATAGAAACTACACACCTGGCTCAACATTTAAGAGTCCCCAGAGCCAGGGCGTGACACAGACTAGCATCCAATTTAAACAAGTTCTTGATGATCTAAGAGATCTACTTTTTGATACCTTCATTGAATGTATTGAGAATAATACTCTCATGCCCACTTTGAAACAAGGTACTCAAACCTGGAATATATTAATAACCTTAGGCCTATAACTTTACTTATCGATTATAAACTGTTTTCACACTTTTTTGCCAACAGATTGAAAGGCATAACTCTGACTGTAAGTGAGACTCGATCTGTCTTTTTGAAAGAGGTCGATACATAATAATATCTGACTAGTTTTGGACCTGATAGAGGATGATGGGTCTATTTTATTTTTGGACTTTCAAAAGGCTTTTGATATGGTGGAGCATGATTTTTCTTTCCATTGTCTAAAACATTTAGGATTTAAAATGTTATATTGTGATATTACCAGTCCAGTCTCCCATCCCCATGGTACCGCTCCACGACTCAATATAAATATAATAGAATTCGGTAAGGCTGTCGAATTAAAAAAAATAATGTATTCATTTTAGCTGCTGAAATGCTGGCCATTTTGATAAAGAATTATGAGAATATAAAACAACTTATGTTCTGGGAAAATCCATCGTTATTAGTCAACTGGCAGACGATACTACTATTTTTCTTAAGGACAAAGAAACCCCTAGCTATCAATTTAGTTAATCTCTTCTCAGATGCATCAAGTTTGAGGATAGAGTGCATTCGGAAAGTATTCAGACCCCTTCACTTTTTCCACATTTTGTTACGTTACAGCCTTATTCTAAAATTGATTACATTTTTATTTTATTTTTTATCCTCAGCAATCTACACACAATACCCCATTATGACAAAGCGAAAACAGGTTTAGAAATGTTTGCAAATGTATAAAAATAAACATAAATACCTTATTTACATAAGTATTCAGAACCTTTGCAATGAGACTCGAAATTGAGCTCAGGTGCATCCTGTTTCCATTGATCATCCTTGAGATGTGGTAAATTCAATTGATTGGACATGATTTGGAAAGGCACACACCTGTCTATATAAGGTCCCACAGTTGACAGTGCATGTCAGAGCAAAAGCCAAGCCATGAGGTCGAAGGAATTGTCCACAGGCACAAATCTGGGGAAGGGTACCAAAACATTTTCTGCAGCATTGAAGGTTCCCAAGAACCATCATTCTTAAATGAAAGAAGTTTGGAACCACCAAGACTCTTCCTAGAGCTGGCCGCCCGGCCAAACTCAGCAATCGGAGGAGAAGGGCCTTGATCAGGGAGGTCTGATGAAACCAAGATTGAACTCTTTGGCCTGAATGCCAAGCGTCACGTCTGGAGGAAACCAGGCTCCGCTCATCACCTGGCCAATACCATCCCTACGGTGAAGCATAGTGGTGGCAGCATCATGCTGTGGGAATGTTTTTCAGCGGCAGGGACTGGGAGACTAGTCAGAATCGAGGGAAAGATGAACGGAGCAAAGTACAGAGAGATCCTTGATGAAAACCTGCTCCAGAGCACTCAGGACCTCAGACTGGGGCGAAGGTTCACCTTCCAACAGGACAACAACCCTTAGTACACAGCCAAGACAACGCAGGAGTGGCTTCGGGACAAGTCTCTGAATGTCCTTGAGTGGCCCAGCCAGAGCCCGGATTTGAACCTGATTGAACATCTCTGGAGAGACCTGAAAATAACTGTGCAGCGACGCTCCCCATCCAACCTGACAGAGCTTGAGAGGATCTGCAGAGAAGAATGGGAGAAACTCCCCAAATACAGGTGTGCCAAGCTTGTAGCGTCATACCCAAGAAGACTCAAGGCTGTAATCGCTGCCAAAGGTGCTTCAACAATATGCTGAGTAAAGGGTCTGAATACTTAAATACATTTTTTATTTTAAATAAAATGTCCAAATATTCTAAAAACCTGTTTTTGCTTTGTCATTATGGGGTATTGTGTGTAGATTGCTGAGGATTCTTTTTGAATCCATTTTAGAATAAGGCTGTAACGTAACTAAATGTGGAAAAAGGTCAAGGGTCTGAATACTTTCCGAATGCACTGTAAATATGAATAAACATGAGCTTATGGCCAATCATGACCATCCTTTCATTTCATTACATAATATCCCTATATGGGCAATTCCATAGTAAGGTCAACCTGAGCATGAAAAAACTAAATAGCTAATTTCCTAATGAAACTACATTCATATTTACCTTGAATGTGTGTATTTTCAAGTACAGACTACAGTTGGCCTTTATATTTTCCAAATGTAATGTTATTGTTATTACATTAGTTTCAAAATAAGGCTTTTCATAGCCTTTGGCAATGGCTCACAGAACTTGTTTTGGTATTCACATCTGTGCCCCTGTGTTTCTGACCAAGTCGGAAGGTTAATGAAACAATATCAAACACATTTTAGTCCAGAATTTTACAATTTAGTAAAGATAGAACGCTGATTTGGACAGACAGTGTCACATCCGTAACGTTTTTGAAGAAAAGTTGTTATTGTAGACGTGTTTGGAGCATGATTGTATTTAAACATTCTATGCAAAGCTAACTTTCATCAAGGGTGAGGTGTAATTGGTTGCCTTTCTCTCTGGGTGAGGTGTAATTGGTTGCCTTTCTCTCTGGGTGAGGTGTAATTGGTTGCCTTTCTCTCTGGGTGAGGTGTAATTGGTTGCCTTTCTCTCTGGGTGAGGTGTAATTGGTTGCCTTTCTCTCTGGGTGAGGTGTAATTGGTTGCCTTTCTCTCTGGGTGAGGTGTAATTGGTTGCCTTTCTCTCTGGGTGAGGTGTAATTGGTTGCCTTTCTCTCTGGGTGAGGTGTAATTGGTTGCCTTTCTCTCTGGGTGAGGTGTAATTGGTTGCCTTTCTCTCTGGGTGAGGTGTAATTGGTTGCCTTTCTCTCTGGGTGAGGTGTAATTGGTTGCCTTTCTCTCTGGGTGAGGTGTAATTGGTTGCCTTTCTCTCTGGGTGAGGTGTAATTGGTTGCCTTTCTCTCTGGGTGAGGTGTAATTGGTTGCCTTTCTCTCTGTCAGTCCTCGTTCTAACCGTTACGGACGCTAATGGAATCACTAGTCAGCATCACTGCATAATGATGATAAAATGTTCATGCACTTCCTACTGCTTCCGAAGCGTGTTTATTTTAGCAAGCTAGCTGGCTCTCAATCTGTCTGTGTGAGTGATCCATTTCAGGTGTACTCACGTTCTCATATGAACTGCAATGATGCGTTGTTCTGCTAACCATGAGCATTGCATGTGATCACATGGCATAATAAAAGGTCTTAAATTCATAAACATAATTAAGGTCTTAAAAATCCATAAGCAACTTTCACCGATCATGCTGAGTTTGTTTACTTCCTGAATAAGTATGGGTACCCCCCAGTGACAATATTGGTTTGTATCTGTGTGGTCTGCCCTGCGGCGCGAGATGCACTCTGGCACTTGAGAACTGCAGCTGTCAAACCTGAAGTGATTTACTTTCTGACCCTGTGCTATTGGTAGGACATATAGTTTAACCCTTCATAGGAAAGACATCAACATAATGACATATGATAGGACACGCACTCTACACAAACGTACACATGGATGTTGTATTGGATATACAGTGGGGAGAACAAGTATTTGATACACTGCCGATTTTGCAGGTTTTCCTACTTACAAAGCATGTAGAGGTCTGTAATTGTTATCATAGCTACACTTCAACTGTGAGAGACGGAATCTAAAACAAAAATCAAAAAAATCACATTGTATGATTTTTAAGTAATTAATTTGCATTTCATTGCATGACATAAGTATTTGATACATCAGAAAAGCAGAACTTAATATTTGGTACAGAAACCTTTGTTTGCAATTACAGAGATCATACGTTTCCTGTAGGTCTTGACCAGGTTTGCACACACTGCAGCAGGGATTTTGGCCCACTCCTCCATACAGACCTTCTCCATATCCTTCAGGTTTCGGGGCTGTCGCTGGGCAATACGGACTTTCAGCTC